CATGGTCAACTCTCAGCTCAAGCTTGTGTGTCGCCGGCTATTTCCTGATGGTGAGGCGTCGCTCCATGAGATCAATTGCCTCGTGTATGCTGGTGCTTGCCTTTGCATATCGACTATCCAAGGCAGTCAGAATCATCCGACTGGCAATGCCAAGCGAAACGGAAGTGACAAGGACCTTCCGCCGCAGTGGCAGATCCGATTGACAAAGGAAATCGATCAACTCCGCTCGGATGTTTCCCGACTCACCAGCATGCTACGATATCCATCGGAGAAACATCGTGACTTCTGGAGGAGATATGAAGTTGAAGTCGGAAACACAGACGAGTTGGAAATGAAGCTACAGGGAATTAAAGATCGACTTCTTGCGCTAGCAGCCAGGATGCGTCGATACCGAGAAAATGAAAAGGCCAAAAATGCCAACAAAATGTTCCAAATGAATGAGCGTGCTTTGTACCGGACGCTTCGGGAGCCTGCACACTCTGTTAGTGGTGCTTCAAATCGATTGGAGACGCCGCAATTTCCAGAGGCGGGTGAAGCCACCGAATTCTGGAGTGATCTTTTGTCTACACCTGCTCCGTTCACCACTGGTGAGTGGTATGTAAGGCAAGCAGAATATTATGAAGAACACGTCCCTGTGCAGAGTAGCGCAGTTATCACCCAGGACATCCTGGCTGACTGCCTGCGCAAACTAGCCTTGTGGAGGGCTCCGGCCCATGACAAGTTGCATGGGTAATGGTGGAAGAGGCTGACAAGCCTGCATTCTTACCTACCTTCGGAGAGCCTTCCAGAGGGTTATAGATGGCCACAGTGACATTCCGGGATGGTTGACGTCTGGTGCTACTACTCTCCTTCCGAAGACTTCTCCACCTTCGGTAATGCCCAAAGATTATAGACCAATTATGTGTCTTCCGATACTCTACAGGCTCTTTACCGCCGCCATATCGAAGATTATGTGGCAGCACATCAATCAACATGAAATACTTGCAACTCAGCAGCGCGGTTGTGCAGCAGCTGGTCTTGGTTGCAAGGAGCACCTGATGGTGGATAAGATGATTCTGGAGGATGCCCATACGAAAGGGCGAAATTTGGCCATGGCATACCTGGACTTCAAAAAGGCGTTTGATAGTGTGTCGCATTAAATTAATGGATTCTACATGCTTTGACGATGTATCGATTCCACCCGTCTTTGGTCACAACTATTGCTCGTAGCATGCAGAACTGGAGAACGACAATGCACATATGCGACCAGGGAAGATGCAGGGTCACTACCGGCAACATTTCTATAAGAAGAGGCATATTTCAAGGTGACACATTACCCCCCTTACTGTTTTGCCTGGCGCTAAACCCAATCAGTTTTGAGCTCAACCGATTGCCTTTGGGATACAGAGTCAGCTGCAGAGACGCCGAGTTGACTATCAATCACTCTTGGTACATGGACGACATTAAACTCTACGGGAAAACTACAAAGGATGTGACTACCCTCGTGTCTACCGTGTGTGGCGTTGGTGATGACATCGGCATGAATCTCAACCCGGCCAAGTGTGCCGTGCTGCACGTCAGGAGAGGAAAACCAGATGAAGGATGCTCTATCCAGGTTGGTGATGAGACCATTGCAGAGTCGCTACGACTCAATGAAACATACAAGTACCTTGGAGTAGTGCAAGCAGCCATGATACCTCACCCGCAGCTCAAGACGCAACTCACTGCAGAATACAAAAAGAGATTGTATTTGCTTCTTAACAGTGGATTGAATGCGCGAAACATGATCAAGGCCATCAATACGTATGCTCTGCCGGTTATGACATATAGTTATGGAATTTTTTTATATTTTTTTTTATACGAAAGTCCACTATATTCCCGAATATGTGCGAGAAGTGGTGGCGGGGCCAGGCTGCTCTGCCGACCTCAAAGGTGTCGGCGTCTACGCAGACAAAGCGCGCCATAATGCAGTAAAACCATGTAGAGAGGAGGAGGAGGGGAAATGAATAATAGTGAGAAACAAGGACAATGGGTAGATGGTCGTAAGAGAAGCAGAGTGAAAGATAACGTCACATTGTGGTAAGGGGGGGGGGGGATGCTAGTGAGGCACTGGTCTAAACCGTTTCATAGGGCGTCGGTGGCTGCTTGCCAGTTCAGGTGCAGCAGATACTTGTTGCATTTTTCTTTGAATGATTGGAGCTGGCTGGGTTGCGGCCGTGTTGGTAGAATGGTCGCTGGTAGGCTGTTCCACAAGCGAATAATGCAGTCTGGGTAGGAACCCTGGAGGCTGCTACGAATGCGCACGGGCAGCGTCGACTTGAGCTGTAGCGGGTGGCAGTGGGCAGTCTCCGTGGCTAACCTAGTGGATCGACCACCCACTGGGCGGGGATTGGCTGGAGGTGGGAGGATGGGCTTCAGGGGGCTTGTTGTTGGAAGGTAAGACAGCTTGAACGTGAACGAAAGCGCAGCAACCATTCGGCGGTGTTTCAGGCTGGGAAGCCAGGCTCCTGGGCCAATCACCTTCAGTGCCTTGTGCTGGATTTAGTCCAGTCTGGATGTACCTGACCCCATCCACACCAGGCAGCAGTATTCCATTGTTGGCCGCACGAAGCCTTTGTAGACTGCCGTGCGGCCGCTGGAGTCCAACAGGGGCGCAACCTTTCTCAGGAAGTGTAGGCGTTGGGCAGCCTTTGAGGCCACGGCCCGGAGGTGTGCTGCGTAGGACAGTTGCGAGTCGAATGCTATGCCCAGAAGTATGATTTCCTTCTCTTCAGGAACAGTCACTCCATTGAAGAGCACTGGTGGGAACGCTGGGGGAGGCTTGCGGTGGTCGATGATGAGGGCCTGAGATTTGGATGGCTCGTAGGTGACCTTCCACTTGGAACCCCAGTGGGAGACGGCGTCCACTGCTTCCTGGAGTTGTGCTGCAGAGTCGGATATGCTGGCGGTGGCAGAGATGCACTGATACAGTGTCGTGTCATCTGCATACGTGGCAAGCTCAGCACCAGCAGGCAAGGTGTCCTCGCAGTCATTTACGTACAGGAGGAATAACGTTGGTCCAAAGATGCTACCTTGTGGTACCCCTGCTTGGATATGGTGCAGGGAGGACTCTTGGCCGCCCACAACAGCCTGCAGGCGCCGGTTGTGCAGGTACCTTTCCAGCCATCCGAGAAGCGGGCCGTCTAGACCGTACACGGAAGCCTTATGCAGCAGGCCAGCATGGCTGACTTTATCAAAGGCGACTGCTATGTCTATCGCCAAAACATGGGCGGCTCCTCCTAGGCCGGCTGCTCGGGACCATTCACAGTGGAGCTTGGTTAAGACGTCGGCTGTGCTCAGGCCCTTTCTGAACCCGAACTGTTTCGCAGAGATGACATTGTGGGACTCCACGAAACTGGTTATCTGACGATTGACAATTGTTTCCATCACTTTGGATATGATAGACAGCAGAGACACAGGTCTGTAGTGTTGAGGCAGGTTCTTGGATTTCTTCTTGTGAATGGGTGTGACTCTAGCTGTCTTCCAGGATGTCGGCATAACCATGCTGTAGAAGCTAAGGGAGAACAGTTTGGAGAGTGGCTTACTTAGGGGGTCGGCACACACCTTCAGAACTCGCGCGGGAATGCAATCCGGTCCAGTAGCTTTCGATGCATTTAGGCGCCGTAGTTCTCTCTTGACAGTGGCAGGGTGGAACCGAACCGTTGAGAGCTTTTCAGCCGTGCGCTGAGCAACGTGGGGAAATCAGTCGCTGGTTGGTTGGCGGGGAAGTCGTCGGCGCCCAGGCTGCACTTTGAGGCGAAATACTGCCCAAAACACTCACCTTTTTCGGCATTCCAAACGCATTCCAAACCAGGCTGCGGCGTAAGAGTTGGGATGGACGTGTTTCTGCTGCTGCCACCTGCTTGCTTGATGGTAGACCACCACGAGCGGTCACTCAGGCTAGCTTTGGAGAGCTTAGTAAGCAGGGTAGCCAGGCGGGCCACCTTGGCATGCTGGAGGATGTCATTACAACGTAGAGTGGCTGCTGAGGCTATCTGGCGCGCTGCTGTTGACTTCTGCCGTCTGGCAGTAGCCCAAGCCCTCTCTTTTGCTTTTATGGCATCCGTGCACTCAGGGGTTCACCAAGCTGGATCCGTCGGCCGGGATGTGAGTTGCCGGGATAGGATGAAACGTGACATACCCTGGAGGATAACTTCGGTGATGTTGGCGCACGACTCATCAGCGCTGGTGGTGAAGGCAGTTGACCAGTCATAGGCTGGGAAAAAGTGACAGAGGCGGTTCCAGTCTGCTTGGTTGTACCGCCAGACAGTGCGTGTGGTTTTTGGTTCACGGAACGCAGAGATAGGGAAGTCCATGGTGAGGACAGCGGTGTCAGAGGACCCCAGTGGGGCATGGCATTTCACCTGAACCGGTTCACTGAAGTGAGACATCACAAGGTCCAGGGTGTTGTCTCCACGTGTGGGGATGTTGACATGTTGCTCCAGGCCATGAACATAGCAGAGTTCCTCGGCTGCTTCTCCTGCTGAGGTAGAAGCAGGTGCTCCCTAGCCATGCCAGCCATGCTGCATTGTGGACATTGAAGTCCCCTGCGAGGATAACATAGTCACCGTGGCTGCGGGCCTCATATAGGTGGGTATCAAGGTATTCGATCAGCTCCGTGTCTGTCCCGGCTGTGGAGCCTGATCGGTAGAGTGCACAGATAACAATCTTGGACCGGCTAGCTGTTGATACAGATATCCATATCACTTCGTGGTGTTCCGTGCTGAACCGGTCCAGGTGCTGGAAGGTCATGTTTGATTTCACCCAGATGGCAACTCCGCCTCCATGAGCGTTTCTGTCATGTCGGATTGGGGGAGCGTATCCGGACAGACAGACCTCACTGTCAGTGACCTTTGCGGTTGAGAATTTTGTCTCCGTAACAGCGATGACATCAGGTGAGGAGCACATTGCAACATGTGCAAGTTCACCAAGCTTTGACTTTAGGCCAAAAGCATTGGTGAGTAGGAGCCTGAGGAAGTGCTTCATTGGTGACCATGTAGGTCATGTTGTGGCGCAGATCCGTTTGATCTGTTCAGGTCTCCAGCCTCTGGTGGGGAGAGGTGGGAGTTTCTCCGTTTTTGGCCACCAGGCAGTGGAGTAGAGATGATGTCTGCCGGTGGTGGTGGCGGCGGTGGTGGCGGCGGCGGCGGCGGGGAGGAGGTTGAGCCCTGCTGCTGTTGTTGCTGTTGCTGTTTAGTCAGAACACTGGCAGAGTTGCTGTTTCTGCTACCGTGGCAGCGACTGCTGGTGCTGCCCTCAGGACTGGTTTCAGAGAACCTCCATGGCCTGCAGTATAGGCGTCTTGGCCAGAAGTTGGGCGCTGTAACTGTGGAGAATGAAGTGGCATCGATGGTCACTCTGGCGGAAGCACGCCCACTTTCTGACAGCCATACACTGCAGGTGTGGACAGGAATAGAGGCGCCCAGAAACTCACTCCTGGTTTTGATAAATTGCCTGAAGTGGCTCTCACTGCTATCTGTGGCGATATTGCCCACGTACACTACGGCACGCTTGTTCTTGGGTGGTTCTGAGGAGACAAGCTTCCATGAGTCATCCTCGATAACATGGACGATTGGCTTGCCGTTGGACTCTGTCACATCTGCCTGGGACTTGGACTCTGTCACATCTGCCTGGGACTTGGACTCTGTCACATCTGTCTTGGGCTGTGACTCAGAACACTCTGCCTTTGCCAAGCCACCGCTTCTCTGGGCCTGGGGGCCGTGGGGCTTTCGATCCGCGCTTGTGACGCCAGTACGTGATACGGTGCTGCTGGGTTCCATGTGAGCTGCAGCTTGCTTGGCGCTGCGTTTGCTGGCACGGGTACTACCGGTACTACTTTGCGTACGATGTACGTCTGCTTGAACTGGTGAGCTGTTTCTCGTCGTCTTCGGCTGCATCCAGGCAATGGAGGAGTTTTTTGAAACAACTAACTCTTCCTTCAAATCTTTTACTTCCGCTGCCAGCTCACCAATTTTGCGTTTCATACGCGCTTCGCAATCAGCAGACTCGGTCGCGAACTTTGCCAGCGTTTGCATCACTGCAAGGAGACCCTGCTCAATACCCGGGAGGGTGCAAAGCAGCTTCGTAACGGCCTCAGCAGAGAGCTCGCCCATGGCGAAGGGTTCCTGCCTGGCCCTACCTAACTATCCTACACTATTTCTACTACTACTACTACCCACCTAGCTATCTCCAGTCCGGCCTGATGCCGGCTGGGGTGTCCAAAAAAACGAAAAGCTACGAGCTTGAAAAACGCGTGCCACACTCGTAGCTGCAAAAAAAACATCCCCATCGTAAATTGGACCGAGGCTGAAATCAAGACCACAGATCGAGCGACAAGATCAGCGTTGACTGCGTCTGGATTTCACCACCCCAAAGCCTCAGTCAACAGGCTCTACATGAAGAGGGGAGATGGAGGCCGGGCCTTGGTCTCTTGTGAGGATATGCACGGCCGGAGCATGTGTGGCCTGGCCCGCTACATGAGTACCAGACCAATAGACAGAATAAGCCTGCTTTATCAGTATCATCAACAAAAACCTACAACAAAAAGCCACTCAATAACTGCAAAGGCCGCTAAGTTCCTGTCGAGTTTGGATCTGCCAGCAGCTGGACCAGCTTTACCCAATAAGCATACCATTAAACAAGCGTGCGCTGAGCGAAAATCCAAAACACTTTCCACTAGGCCGCTGCATGGGAGATATTGGAGCCGATTGGAGGAGAATCGCCTAGATAAGGAGCTTACCTTCATGTGGTTGAAATCAAGGACACTGAAACCTTCAACTGAAGGCATGATTATGGCAGCACAAGACCAATCCCTCAAAACGAAAAATCACCAATACGCCATAATGAAGTCAATTGCTCGAACTGATGCCGATTGCAGGCTTTGCAAGGGCAGCTTAGAAACAATTGACCACATTGTCAGTGCCTGCCCAGTTCTTGCTCGGACCAGTTACATCGAACGACATAACCGGATAGTAAAGTATGTGCACTTCGAAATGTGTAGAGCACGAGATCTACCTACTGGTGCTTCACGACTCGACCACGAGCTCAAGGCATTGGTCAAGAGTGATCGGTATCGCCTCTATTGGGAGTATGCTGTCCCAACTGACCTGAAACTATCAGCAAACAGGCCCGATCTGCTCCTTGTTGATGACAAGGAGCGCATCGCCTACATTATAGACATCAGCGTTCCTGGTGAGAACAACATCAATAAGAAAATGGCTGAAAAGCGCTCGAAATATTATGATTTGAAGCGGGAGATTTCCAGGATTTGGTCCCTCGCCCAGGTTGACGTGGTCCCTGTGGTTGTCGGTGCCCTGGGAGGCTTGGCGGGGGAGACTCATCAATGCCTTCGGACTGTGCAGGGAGGAGACCTGGCTATTGTGCAACAGGAGGCTATCCAAGGTTCGATTAAAATACTAAGAATTATCCTTAACATGTAGATGCACCTCTGCTGCGTTTGCATGTTCAATAGCTAAGATACTTGAATAACGACTGATAAAGACTGATATTTCTTTTGTTACTCTCTTCATTAGTGAATGTACTTTGCCTGTCGCTGCAAATTCTTTATTATTGTTTTGATGTTGGAGTTCGGATTGAGTTTCTTTCCTTTCTTCCTCTTCCTTCAACTATTTCTTGTCCCTTTGGTTTTTATTTTTTTGTACTTTGCAAATTCTTTATTATTGTTTTGATGTTGGAGTTCGGATTGAGTTTCTTTCCTTTCTTCCTCTTCCTTCAACTATTTCTTGTCCCTTTGGTTTTTATTTTTTATTTTTCACTTTCTTTTTGCTGTCCCACCAATGGAAATATTTCCCGGTGGGTCTGGCTTATCGCCTTCGAAAGAAGTGAATAAAGGAGATATAATAATATCGGCCCTAGGGCACACCTACCTAGCCTGGCCATCCGCCGCACTGTTGCCTCGCTTGCCTGCCTGTACAGGCTTCACTACTTGCCTGGCCCTCCGCAGCTGCTCTCTGTGTTGCTACCACGCCACATCATCTCTACCAACCCCAGAACTCGCAGGGAGCACGGTGCTGTCGGTGGCCATGACCACCAGCTCCAACACCAGCTGCCTGCATCTGCCCCGCTGGCACTGAAGCGCTCGTTCCCACACTGCAGCATCAACGATTGGAACTCCCTCCCTGCCGCTCTCTTATCCCAGCCCCTCCCCCCCCCCCACAGCAAAAGAATGCAATCATTCAAAACGAATGTTTACCGCCATCTTCGCAGCAGAAACTGGCTCTGGGCAGTCGATTCCCTTTTTTTCCTATGAATAGTATGATGCTAAGACAGTTTCTTCCCCACAATCGCTCGTGTTAAGCCTTGAGCTTTTGCATCTTTTTTGCCTGTAAAGCTCTATCTTCTTTTTTTCATTGTTTTTGGTGCGTGTTTTTGGCCGTGACGCCGAGACCTCAGGTCGGCAGAGTCATCAATGCCCCACCATCACTGCTGCGTCTCGGTGCAGCGCCTGCTCATTAGTTGTCACGTTTGTCCTAGTCTCTGTACCATTGTCTTTCCTTATTCTTTTCGAGCTGGTTATGTGAACATAGTAAAAAAAAAAAAAAAAAAAAAAAAAAAAACATGCGGATCCAGCGGCAATGGCAAGCAAGGAATTTCGTTTGTACTCAGAAAAGTCCTCTCTACGGAAGTTAGCGTAGACATTTTCTAGGGCATTCGACAGCTTCGGTGCGCTGACTGAAGAAGAATCAAGCGCAGCACCGAGTACTGCATTCTTTACAGTATAATGTAAGTATCGAAAAGTGGTGAATATGAGATAAGTGGTGAATATAAGCGGTGAATATTCAGCATTAGCCCCATCCCTCATACAAACAAGTCAACAAAGAGGCATCTTTGGATTGAGGAGTGCTGGTTCCGAAACAACTGGTTTGAAGCTCAAAGTAGAGCTGCTGTTAGCTCAAAGTAGAGCTGCGGTTAGCTCAAAGTAGCGCTGCTGTTAGCTCAAAGTAGAGCTGCTGTTAGCTCAACGAAGAGCTGCAATGCTGAATGGATGTAATATAGCGCAAGGCAGAGCCGCAGCAAATAGCTAGATAACACCAGTTGTGAGAGCGGACCCGATTAGTGGGTACGATAATAATGATGGTGTGAATAAGTTGGATAGGGAGGGATGGTGGGAAAAGAAACACTGCTGAAGCACGATCCGTTGTCTGCAAGAGCATAACAGGGCAAGCAAGATTTGTTTTTCTTTTCCGCAAAATGGGCTGGTGCCATTTGTGACTAGGCAGCAAAACAAAGCGCATGACGTCAGTCTTGAATGGAGTACAAAGCAATGCAGTGCAGTGTGTGCGCTAGTTCGGATTGTTGCTAACAAGTACTAGCACAGCTAGTACACCATTAGCCCCATCCCTCACACAAACAAGTCAACAAAGAGGCATCTTTGTATTGAGGAGTGCTGGTTTCGAAACAACTGGTTTGAAGCTCAAAGTAGAGCTGGTGTTAGCTCAGAGCAGAGCTGGTGTTAGCTCAGAGCAGAGCTGCTGTTAGCTCAAAGCAGAGCTGCGGTTAGCTCATAGTAGAACTGCGGTTAGCTCAAAGTAGAGCTGGTGTTAGCTCAAAGTAGAGCTGCTGTTAGCTCAAAGTAGAGCTGCGGTTAGCTCAAAGTAGAGCTGCTGTTAGCTCAAAGAAGAGCTGCTGTTAGCTCAAAGAAGAGCTGCTGTTAGCTCAAAGTAGAGCTGCGGTTAGCTCAAAGTAGAGCCGCTGTTAGCTCAACGTAGAGCTGCAATGCTAAATGGATGTAATATAGCGCAAGGCAGAGCCGCAGCAAATAGCTAGATAACACCAGTTGTGAGAGTGGACCCATGAAACCAGCATTCCGTTAACTAGGCACTATTGACGCACAGCAAGGGTCAATTAATGTCAGCTCAGGCAAGCATTGCGCAGCTAGAGTTCAGTAACTCATTACTCACCCGAGTTGGGGATCATGGCATCCATGGCACGGCAGCAAACCGGGACGATAGCTGGCGCTTAGCGCTTGTTGTAGTCCGGATGTAGCGTAGACACGCATCGCTCTTTCCACTGACCTGCCACTCGAAAGAAGGAGTCAGGGGCACTAGCCATAGCAGCGGTGGTAGCTGCACCAATGTGGACCGAATGCCCGAAGTAGTTCGACTGGGATGGTACACCGGCCGCAGCGACAAGGGACCATACTGTTACTGTGAATGACTGCCTGGTCAGCTGCTGTCTGTTCGAGAGTACGAAGAAGAGTTGCTCCGGTTCCTCGCGACGAGTGACAAATGGGTGGCTAACAATGGCACGGACCGGGCAGCACGGTGGTACAGACGGGCCAATGTCACTAATAACGCCTTTACCGAATGGGTCCGTCTTGGATGAAAGCAGGAAGAGTTGCAGGCGTCCGTCACCAGGGGAGCTAGTACAGCCCCGTGTGATGCCATTAGTGAATTCAGCACACCGAAGAAATCCAAAGAAGCAGCATGGCGGCTTGGTAGAGCAGCTTGTCATGGCCATTCAGGATACTACTTTTCCGGCGTGCATCCGTCAGGTGTCGTAGGATTGGCATAGTTGAAGGAAGGCGAGGGGTGAGTACAGCCGTACCATAGCATCGCTGGATGCCCTTTAACACCCTCTTCAGAAGCCACGCATCTACTAAGGGGCCGGCAAACCCATTCTCAAAGTGGGCTTTATGCACCCCACTCGCATACACAGATACAGTTCAGGGCACGCTGATCATAGTTCACGCATGAATGTGTGTCCAGGAACGATAACTCGGGCAGCAAAAGTGAGCTTCCCAGGAGGGACTCGAGTTGACGCTGGCCGATGCTGCGCTCGCTGCTAGTAGCCATGAGTGGCGCACGGATCACGGACAGCTCCTCCTCTGGTAGCCGAGCTTCGTGGCGCTCGCAGTCTAGGACAATACCAAGGAAGGTCAATGATGGTGAAGGCCCTTCGAGCTGGGATAGAGCAAAGAGGAGTGCCGAGATACGTGAATGCCCGGAGGGGGATGGTGAGTTGCTGGTTGGCTGCAGCCAACCTAGTGGAGATATCGAGAAAGTCATCGAGGTAATGAAGCCGGTTATCTATAGCAAACTCGTGCTGCATGATCCAGTTGACTGCTGTGGCTACTGAGTCAATGACAGCTAGG